TAACTGCATTTACTGATATAGCTGAACTATTCTCTAGATTTCTTATCTTATTTGGGACAACCAATCTAGATTTAGCTAGGTTTTTATGTTCGTCTAGTCTGACTACCCTGTTCTACTAGTTTGACCTATGTATTTGACCTCACAATCATTGCAGGGTATTAGATAAACCAAATTGTTATGTGTGATAAGATCCACAGGATTGATCCTCTAACCGACAAAGCTTGTTTCGGATTGAGTTTGTGGGTTTGAATGCCACTTTTATTCCTGCCTTGTTAAGGACTCTGCGTAAGGCTTCCTAGGTTCCTTCTTGTATGGAATTACTGTTGATGATTTAGATTCCTTATTGCTGGTGTCGTCATTAATATTATTATTATCACTATTATTATTACCATTATTATCATTGTTATCAATATTATCATTATCACTATCGCTATTATCATTATTTTTTTATTTTTACATTTACTTACATATTTCTTGACGAATTTGTCCGGCTATTTATTAAGCTTCAAGGCTTCTTTTATTTGTATCACTTCCCATCTTAGAGTTTCCTTGGTACTACTTAGTTTTAGGTGGGAAAAGATAGAAATTGAAACGTTCACCCCCACCCCAAATGTATGGTAGATGTATGTAGATGACACATTCACTGTACTAAGAACAAGAGATATAGACAGATTTCTCGAACACATCAACTCGAAGGTAGAGGCAGTTCAATTCAGTTATGAATTGGAAAGTCAGGAAGGGGAACTTCCGATGTTAGATTGCAACGTAAAAAAGGAAAGAAGATGGGAAGCTAAACACTAGTGTTTGTAGAAAACCCACACATTTAAACAGATATTTGGATTTCCGATCATCCCATCCTATGTCAATAAAAATAGGATTAGTAAAATGTTTAATTGACAGAGCACACAAACTAAGAAGTACCAAGGAAACTCTAAGATGGGAAGTGATACAAATAAAAGAAGCCTTGAAGCTTAATAAATAGCCGGACAAATTCGTCAAGAAATATGTAAGTAAATGTAAAAATAAAAAAATAATGATAATAGCGATAGTGATAATGATAATATTGATAACAATGATAATAATGGTAATAATAATAGTGATAATAATAATATTAATGACGACACCAGCAATAAGGAATCTAAATCATCAACAGTAATTCCATACAAGAAGGAACCTAGGAAGCCTTACGCAGAGTCCTTAACAAGGCAGGAATAAAAGTGGCATTCAAACCCACAAACTCAATCCGAAACAAGCTTTGTCGGTTAGAGGATCAATCCTGTGGATCTTATCACACATAACAATTTGGTTTATCTAATACCCTGCAATGATTGTGAGGTCAAATACATAGGTCAAACTAGTAGAACAGGGGTAGTCAGACTAGACGAACATAAAAACCTAGCTAAATCTAGATTGGTTGTCCCAAATAAGATAAGAAATCTAGAGAATAGTTCAGCTATATCAGTAAATGCAGTTACACACAACCATACAATAAGATGGGATAGGATGACAGTCTTAAAATCTAATGTCACAGGGTATAGGGAGAGATTGACAACAGAAGCTTTGTTTATCGAATCAACTGCAAATACATGTGAAAGAACTGATTCAACACCTGTCCCAGATATATGGAAAATTCTACTACCCCAACGACAAATAGGAGAAGACAAAGAAAACTATAAAACTCATTTCAAAGTCGTATGATCACAATTGATATGATTATGAACAATAAATTTTTTTCGAAATGTCATCGAGTAAATAATACTGTTTCACTGTGTGATACATCTAATAAACAAACTAATATGGAATTACTTTTCACCACACAGCTCGAATTTTTCAGATATATTAATAACGAATGTACATTACTGAGAAGATTTCGCGATTATTTTATTTTTAAAAGAAACTACTCACACCTCTCTTCGGCATTTTCAGTTACTCTTCCAGATATTTTCGAATATAATATCGTGCTTATTCTAAGTTTCCTCACGCTTGTCTCCAAGTAGCATTACAACATGTTGAATGAAGCAGTGACATAAATCTATTGGCTATAGAAGGGAAGCTAAGCTCTTGACAGGTATATCTCGTAATTTGCACGTGCATCATGTAGCATACAACATCAACAGTAGACAAATCTGAAACAAATACCCTTGAGCATCAATCATTCTTGTGGTGTGTAGGTTGGAATTTTTCAGTATTCGCTTATCAACTACAATTCAATATATCAGTCATTAGCTGCAGGTATTAGTTTGAATCAGTCCCACATCATACTTTTGGATTATCACAGATTCATATTAGTACTGTCGATTATTTAGCATTTATTGATTTTCAAAAGAGTGGTTACTAAACAAAGAGTACTCTTTTCGCTAAATTCATCATCAGGCTCTACAGTTATATATACATTATAGTGAATGAATGAGTTAGTGTTATGAACAACATTAATGTTTAAATAACATCAAATTAATAATATTGATAGATTACAGCTGAATTGCATCAACATAAAATAAGCCGATTGTCAGAAAAATTAGGAAAGGTAATATTACAAATACATGAGTTTATAATTTCTACTGAAGGCCAGGGAGATTTTGGGGACTGCACTTGCTTCTTTTGGACACAGAGCGCTGGTTGTTTGAGGCGAATCGCAATAGCCTCTGCTGTTTGGAGCACGCGGTGCTTCGATTATTTTGGTATTTTATTAAGCACCCGGTATATTAGAGAGAAGGACTCTTCTACGCTGGCTTTGTGGCTGGTTTGCACCAGATGGTCCAATATCAACCTGCTAATGGTTTTCACTACACCTTTACTTAGCCATGCTGGGTGATGTTCTCGAGCACGAAAATCAAGTTCCTAGAGCAACGGCCAATATAACTCGCTCCACAAGCGCAGTTGAATTGATAGATACAATTTGAAGTGGCTAGTCTAATTACTTCTTTTTTCACTCGAAGAATCACCATCGTTCGTGTAGAGAATAATACGTGTAGTTCGTCACCATTAAAAGTCCTTTGAACTGATTTTCCTAATTTCTTCGCAATTATCACGCTTGGTATATCGCCCTTGAATTGTAGTCATAAATAAAGAGGCTTCTTTCTTTACTGATAATGATTAGTCCTTTTCCGTTTTCTTTGTCACGTGTTTCTTGATAAATCTGTCGGGGTAGCCATTTTCGATCAAAGTATCATAAACAATACTTAATTCGTCTTCAATTACTTCTTTTGAGCATATAGCTCTAACTCTGTGGCTGAGGGTCTTCACTAAATTTCTTTTATACTTTATAGGAACGAAGCTGTGAAAATGTGTATATTGTCCTGTCCAAGTGCTTTTTCCATGCAAATTACTTTTTATGCTACCATCTGTTTTTCTAATAAGTAGGACATCCAGGAAGGCAGTTCTGTCTTGGCATTCCTCTTCGCATGTGAATTTCATAGCCGAATATACTTCACTGAATTCAGTAATTATTAAACTCCTATCAGAACCATTTTCACAAAGAGTAAAGGTATCATCCACATATCGGCAATAAAATGAGAGCTTACTGATAAGGTTGTTCAGGGGTCCATTTTCTAGCTTACTTAGAAAGAAGTCAGCCAGAATAGGACCCAATGGAAAGCCCATCGCTACTCCGTTCAATTGCCTGTAAAGCATGGCATTAAATTTGAAATTTAAATACACCTTAATATCAATTTTTTTAGGATCACAGTATATATGCCAACGTTTATCGACTGTTTATCCACTTGTTGACATATGTAGTTAACCGTTTCTACTAGAGGTATATTTGTGAATAAAGATGTTATGTCTACAGATTTCATGGTTTTTTTCTTGATATTATTTTCTTTGATTTTGTCGAATTCAAATACATCTTTGACGCTATATTTCACTATCTTCTTGTGCAAAGGTTTGAGAATATTTATAACCATTTGGCTAAGCATGGTAGGGCAAATTTAGCATATAAGGACTGGTCTTAACGATTCTTCTGGTTTATGCACTTAAGGTAGGCCATGCAGTCTTGGTACATACGTGCCTGTTAGCTTGATTTCTTCATATAAATTTTCAGAAAATATCTGCTCCTCCTATAGTTGCTACAAACGTCTGGTTAGTTCATTCTTTATTTTGTTATAGATGCCTTTTTTCTCCTAAAATTTCTGAAACTTCGGTGTATCCTTCAAAATATCATTCATCTCTGAAATATAGTCACTTATATTAAAGAGGACAACCATTGATTCTTTTATCAGACTTCATGATTACCAGTATCGCATCATTTTCAGATTTTTTAGTTCTTCTCTGTGCTCCTTTGTCAAGAAAATGTAACTGTGGAATTAAGGTTTTTCCACTGATAATAACAATCCACTAGACTGGATTTGAAGCGTTCTGATTACAGAGTGGATGATGGAAATAGATTTAAAAATAATAATAAATAATTTTTCCTTCACGTCCCCAGTGGAACATAGGGCTTCAAGCTAGTTGCTTGAAGTTTCTGTAGCAGTGTTTATTTTTACAGGATGGGGTTGCTATCTTCATGCCCAACATTACCTCTTTACCAGCATTATTTCTGACTTAGCGAGGTAAAGGAGTGCATCGGCCGGGGATTGAACCCCGGACCATGTGCATGGTCAGCTAGCGTCCTAACCGATATGCCACAGACGCAATAGATTTTAGTTTGATTAAATAGGTTTTCCAATTCAGTATCAGTATCCAAGGGATTAACTCGTTTCGATCTATCACAAAGTCGAAAGCCAGGGAAAGTACTTCAAGTTGCACCTTATATAATTCAACGTACGTTTTAGGGTCTTCTGGAAATTTACCAGCCTCTAGCTTCCTTTAAAGTCTTTTCACAAGCTCTGTCCGCTTCTTCTATGCTCTTTGTTCACTAACTTTAGAAACTTTCAATATGTTATTCCAAATGAATCTAGTAGAAGCTGAACTTACAGACGAAAACGCACACAATTGTACTGCAAATTTTAGTTATCATCACTCACTTTTGATTGATTTCATATTTCTTTGTTGTATGCATTCAGCACTTTTCGACAAATAAGTATACGTGGTTCAAAGTAGAATATTTTTGGTCGTCATTTGATATTTAAACTGAACATTTACGCAAAGAATTGATTTCGCTCATAATTAAAAACAGTTGACGTCAAATGAATGTTTTGTAGCAACTGTTCAACATGTGACCATGTGTGAAAAAAAACTAGAATCAAAGTCTACAGAATGCGACCGATATAATTAAACATTAGATGAGCATTTCTCTGTGGCAATACTGTTACGTCGAAATTTCGATGGAGACTGTTTCTCAGGTAAACAATTCATTTTTACCATGTGTCATAACCATAATCTCAGTAGCATTTGTTACATTATATTGAAATAAATCGAAATATATCTATATATGACTTTGAATTCAAAACACACTTTATCCTGCAATACGACTTGTACTTTTCACATGAAAATTGTTTTATTATCTATCGCTAATAAGGATTCTGAAGATTTAACATGCGTAAATTGCGTTTAATGGAGTCTAAGGGTTGATGTTTCTATGAATCAAACATTCGCGCCCAAAAGCAAGAGATAACGATTGATTGGTCTTTTCTCATATTAACGTCTCGCAGCTTTATATCAATCGCAAACAAAATATTATGACTGATTCCTCTATTCTATTCGCATTGATTATTTTTGAGAAGTGTTAGAAATTTGGCTTATATGTAATTATCATTTTATTCTTCAGGTTGGTATAATGTCTACTATCAGATGGCAGCAATACGCAACAATCGCTTGCATGTAAGTCTCGCTTTCATACATCTTTGAAGTTGGCACTATTGGTAGCATAAGGCTGTAAAAAGGTTTATGTCATCTGACGATTATAATCCTACGAATCAAATCATTCAGTTGTGATAAACTAGAGCTTTGGAATCAAACTAGCTACATAACTAAATGATAAATGGATTCGAATTATAAAAAAAAAAACTTGATCGTTTATAAGTAGGATATGTGGTGTCTTCAACCAAAAAAAAAAACCCCAACAGGTTGACTAAAAATAAGTGGAGGAATTATATTTTATATAAAAAAAAAAGATGTGGTTCTGTTCATTACGCTCGATGATTTCGTTGTTCACTGTTCAGATTATGTATATGCAAAAGCCATCTGGTTAAACTTTAAGGTTTACTGGGGATTTCCTTTTATTCATGAATGACAAGTTCTTTCGTGATCACCGTCATAGTGATGGATTATTTCAGGAGTGCCATTTTCTTTCTTCTACGTGTGAACGTCTCCTGCTCAGGAAAGATTTCGAGCGTTGCTATCTTTCCAAAAAATAGTAGGGAAACAATGAATACCTCGGATACTAAATCAATCACTGGAATTCCGACTAGTGTATACTTAACAACATTTAACGGAATGGTCATTCGTGGGTAAGGGATATTGAATATTTCAGTGGTATCTCTCAATAGAAATCGTCTCATCTTGAATAATATGTAGGACCAAGAAACTGAAAACCAGCGCAATACTTATTAAACCTAGTGTCTAGGAGTATGCTAGGAATAGTTCCAAAACATTTGGAGTTATGCAGGAGTTTTCTTTTCATGACGTTATTAGTGGACGTCGGTGGCACAGCGGTTAGGACGCTCACCGATCATGCAAATGGTGTGAGGTTCGATCCCCGACCGACGCACTGCTTCACCTCGCTAAGCCAGTAGTGAGACTGGTAAACCGATTAGGCTAAGCATGAGGCTAGCAACCCTATTTTGTAAAAATTAACACTGCTACAGGAAAGTCAAGCCCCTGGCTGAAGGTGAAGGAAAAAATGTTACTAATGATCTTTCCCTTTATGATAACAAAAAAAACTATACATTTAAAAAACATCACAGTATCGACTGTCTGTACACGTGTAACCCTGTTACAGCATCTATTGTTTGATAAAGCTGTTTCCTCTTTGTATTTCAGGGTACTGATTGTGATACAAAAAATGTGTATAATAATATTCTTGAAATTCAGTAATAATATAAAAGTTGCCTTGGTCCTTATAGGAATCATAGTAAGTTTATGAGAGTATCAAGTAACTGAGTTGACTTCATTTCCTCACGATCATTTTGTGTTTGTTGTGCCAGCTCACTCGAAAATAGATTAGTGCAAGCTAAGCAACAAACATTAAGAAGCAGGATTTGAGAAATTCATAAAATGTCGACAGAATTACAAACTCACTCATAGTGATAACAGTAGTAATACTAGTATTAATTTGAATCAAGAGTATTAAAAGAATAAATTTGTTTAGAATTCATAACAGTGATAATAAAGTATAATAATACAAAGTAGGGACAACAGTTACTGAGCAAAATATATAACCATGACGGATAACGACTGACCGTTTCTATCAGTACAAAGAGATCGGGTTAATAAACTCCAATTTCCCCTGTCGAAAGTATCTTACTAATTGTTCGCCTACCAACCGCAGTTAATGGCTTGAAAGCGTCGATATCGGATGAATAGTTTACTTGATGCATTGTTACTGAAAGTTAAGTTATTCTGACTTCAGATGCTTTCAGCTGCTTTATCAAATGCGCCATCATTCGAGTGGTCAGTCATATTTAAAAAAGCTACTCACATTGACATACGCAGTTTAAGGTATCGGCGATTAGACGATGGTCTTTCTTAGATTGTTCAAAGCATCTCTTCGTTAAAGTACACAAATTTTGCAGCACAATATGTTCTCATTATAGCTTCATCCTATATATATATAAACTCATATTGTATGACGTTTCCATGAGATAACAATTTGGAAGTCTTTGATTCTTTCGAGAAGAGTGAAGGTAATTTTATTGAATCTGATTCCTTTGGTGCATTTGTTGATAAACCTCTCTGAATATCCATTTACACCGATATATAGAAAAATGTTCATCTATATAGTTCTGTTTAACCTATATGTTGTTGCACACTACCACAATTGACTAACTAAATGATGTATTGAACTTGAGGTATAAAGTTGCTAGCTACTTACTAGAAGAAAGAATTCGAAAGATTGTCTTTGGTACAACCTGTATGCTCTACCAATTTATACGTCTTTGTGTAAAAACCATTCGAGACTTATGTGGGCAAACCGTGACCATATAACTGTATCACACATGTACTTATATTTATGACTTGTGCTTAACTTAAATTTAAGTGAATGAACCAACTTTTTTATGAAACCGGTTAAATAGCATTACCAAGAACATATTTGTTACCTCTATAACTATTATATGCTTTCCAATAGATGGCACTTAATAAAGATATTTCAAATTTATTTGAATCAGGTGAACGTATTTTCTCATCCCGCCATTTAAGGAATGTGTATTGCAGAAAAAAAAAAAAAAAATTGATGAGTCTTACCGACGTGAATGTAGGAAACACTTAGCGTGAGTTGATAAATACAGTGAGAAATGAAACCATACACCCGATGGTGCGAAGGAGAGCGTAGAAATGGTTTTATCACACAAAATAGGAACTAGAACCACATTGATTCTGGGATATATAATCCCTCTACTGTTGTAGTAAGAGCCAATATACATGGTCTAGATACAAGTTTGCATGCTGACTGTCCATAGTGCCGCATGCCGAAAATAACTATGTTTGAAACAAACTTTTGTGTCGCTTCACATGAAATTTGTTAAAGGCATACATTTCATGAAAAATAGGAATACATTGATAGTAGCACGCTGTAAATGTTCATTTTATTTTGACAACAGATTGTACTATTCTCTGCGAACATCTTTATTGTGTGCTGCAAAGATTCCGGATCAGAATGTTTTATATTATTGGGATTCATTCTTCTGGAAGACTTGCTAACAATCATCTTCTCCATCTTGACTAGACGGTTCAAACAAGCAGTGAACATAGTTATGATGTCTCTATCGGCGGCTTTTCTGATAACCGGATTTGTTTTGTATTTTGTGAAGCTTGGTGATGTAAGTGAATCGAAGTGTCAGGTGCACATTTTTATTTCAAAATTCATTCCTGTATATCCAACGATTGTGTTACTATTGACATTATTAATACAAAAAATTTTTAGTCGTTTATATATCTCTATGTTGTTGAGAAAAACCATGCACATGTTGACAGGGCGGGAGAAATAATATAACGAGTACTTTTTCAGCAATTCATTAGTGGCAGTAATTTCACAAATATGGCAAAAATATCTCACTTATCTGCGATAACGTCCTGTTGCGTATGGTAGGAAATGAGTAGCTGAAATCCTACTTAAAAGAATCGTTGCATTAATACCAAATGTATCACACTGCTTCGTCAGAATTGTGTGATCACTCCCTCCTTGTACCTTCACCCTTTAATATCTTCTTATATTTCATGGCATTTAATGCTAACACTCAATAACCATGATTTTAATTATGCATTTAACCTACTATTATTTGTGGTCAGCATTGTGATCATAATTTTATTCAAAATATTTCAGGACTTTTGGATGCAATTGGCTGGCTGCTTTTGGAACTCAGTTTTAGTTGTGGTAAGTTCATACCTTTGGTTTGAATTTTTATGGACGATTTCTGAATTAGCATTAATTTCGGATTCGATGTGTGAATCCATTACAAAAATGAAGGACCTAATAGAAAAAAAGTACGTTTTGATATGCCTTAATAAAATGGGCGACATCATAAAACAATCTTAAACCATATTTCATGTAGATTACACTGCTTATTTCATTCACAGGTGTTAATTACTAATTAAAATCAGTGCAACAAATTATTCGACGGATGTGATGTCATAATTTTGCTTTCGTTTTTGCAGGTGCTACTGGTTTTTGCCAGTTCACTGAAATAAATTTGATGCCGCCAGACTGTTTCTCATCTTCCTACGACATTTTCATCGTAAATCACGTTTTGAGCGAACAAGTATTACATGTTGCCCATCAATAGGTGACAGTTTAGATTTCCAGTTTTTGAAATAAATAAATGTTTCCGCAATAAAAAATTCAATTTCATTTGTGTCAGATAGTGACGATTCTCGTTTTCACGAGGTTTCGCCTTTTCTCACTGAGAGAATTTGAATACTTGCTGATTTATCTCAGGGTTATAAGTCAGTATGCTTCGCTCAAAAATCCATCGTATGTTTACCTAATCGAGTCAGAAAGGCAACGATGTCAAACTGACGTGAAAACTGAATCAAGTATAGGTGAGGCTAATAAAGCTATTTAAATTATTCTTAAATATGACTGTTAGAGAACTTTTGGAATAGAATCAATACATTTGAAAATAAGATGAGAAATTGAGTAACATGAATAAACCCTCTTCATATTTAGTAAAAGAAGTCTTTAAACGACCCGCCGTTATACGGGATCTCTTTTTATTCTGTTATACTAACCATATTCAAGTAAAATTGATAAGTGACGAGCGTAAGTTACCTGAATGTCTCGTTTCACGTAGAAGAAATTCAACTTCCCCAATAATGTTGTACGTCTTTAGTGTTCCTCACAAAATATTTTTCCGTCATGTTAAGACATTAAGCTGAAAATATAAAAACGGTCGGATCGAGTAACCTTTACTCCTGGGCGAGGTAATTAAACTTTAGATTATTTAATTTAAAGTAGGCTAAATTTACCGAAAAAAATTCTCCTCAATGTAAATTTAGATAGCTCGGTAGCATAGCCAAGTAACCGAAAAGTAGACTACTGAGAGATTTAGTTATAAATGCATCACTTGTCGTGTTATTATTTCACATTTCACACTGTCACGGATGTTATTTAGTCATGTATCGCTGAAGGCGATAAATTTTCATTCCATGGAAATCTCCGTACTTATTCAAATCCTGGATAGATAACCATCGGGACATTAGTGAGGTATAGTTTCTCCGGTACATATATATATACATATATATATATATATATATGGATGGACTGTCCATACGGAGAAAGCGGTATATTGGTTTTTCTGACTGACAGTAAAGAAAAGCAATGGAATAACGGGAAAAATAAGTAAAATTAGTCAGATAATTATGCCTAACTCTTCAGTTTTCATGTTTGTTGGTATTTTTATTCGCTTCTGTGGGGTGATTTTTATTTACAAAACCTTTTATCTCCGCGTTGTCAATTTGTCTCCATGCTGGTCCCGTTTACACATGCATTTATTAAACAAAACTATTTCACACTTTTCGCAACTACAAACTTTCACATTAATTTGAAAATCATTGTCATCTAAAATAACTTTCGTTTTTTGATAATTACTGCAACTGTGTAAACTTACGCGTGTTAATGAGGCCGTACATCTGTTAACGATGGAACCACAGGTGGGATATCCTTGTTGAGCTACTTGCTATTCACCGTCCAATAAATAATCGTTAGGACAGTAAATCATTCTCTTAATATACAAAAAGTAATTTCACAAATGCATAGAAGGAACCTTACCTGAAGGAATTTCAGAGTTGTTATAGATGGAAAACTTGGGCATTTTGGTAAAGTATAACTCCGTTATGGATAAGATTTTTATCTCATAAATCACTGTGTTACATGGTAATATTAACAGATGACGTTTTGAGCACAAACTACTGCTCATAATCATATCACCTTGATATTAGGAAAAGGATAAATAAAATATCTTATTACTCTAAAATTTTATGCAAAGTGTTTGCGGAAATTATCACAATTATTAACCTTTCGAACACTGAATCCAAAAAATACAATCTTATTGACAGATAATACACATAACTCACTGTTTGGATTTGTGGAATTTTTAAACATAAACACATCTATAATTGTATATATTGTTGGATTTATATGTTCAAGTTGCTCCAAGTCAGTGAGTTTATGGTTAAGATATCATTTTAGTTATATGTACTGAACTATATTGCATGTTGTCTTATTGTATAGTTGTCGTCGCTTTTTGCCCTTTTTTCTGTGAACTGTTTCCTTTGTTGATGTTGTTCTCATTGTTTGTCCGTTATTTTCTGATTTTGAGGGGAGCAACCCAAAAAGTTGCTTCTCTCTAAACTTTTACTTAATGTAATCATTCTTTTCTCAGGCGTGAGGCTAGCAACCCCACCCTGTAAACAAAAATTGCTACAGAATCTTCAGTATGCTGAACCTCCTTGCACCAAAAGAAAAAGTCTGTGTAGGAACATGGAACGTCCGAACTATGTACGAGACTGGAAAAGCTGCCCAGATCGCCAACGAGATGAAAAGATACGGAATACAAGTGCTGGGAATATGTGAGAGCAGATGGAATGGGAGTGGACTCACCAAATTGTCAACAGGTGAGTCAGTGATCTACTCCGGTCACCCAGAAGATAACCACACGCACACCGAGGGCGTGGCTATCATGATGTCACCAACGGCAACGAAAGCCCTGATACAATGGGAGGCGATTTCGTCCAGGATAATGACCGCCAGGTTCAACTCCAAAGGAAGGAAAGTGTCAATCATACAATGTTATGCACCCACAAACAACGCAGACCTCGAGAAGAAAGAAGAATTCTACAGGCAACTACAGGCAACAATGGACAATACTCCAGCTGGCGACATGAAAATACTAATGGGAGACATGAACGCCAAACTGGGACCAGACAATACGGGAAGGGAACTCATCATGGGTAGAGAAGCTCTAGGAGAAATGAATGAAAACGGAGAACTCTTCGCCGACTTCTGCGCCTTCAACGAACTGGTGATTGGTGGCAGTGTATACAAGCACAAAGATATCCACAAGGCTACATGGGTGTCACCAGACGGGCAAACCAAAAACCAAATCGACTTCATCTCAATCTCAAGGAAGTGGAGGCGCAGCCTACTGGACACAAAAGCAAGAAGAGGAGCAGACGTTGGCTCAGACCACTATCTCGTACAAGGGACAATCCAAATCAAATTAAAAGCTTTCAGGGAATCAGGAGCTGCAGATAGACCACAAGCCAAGTTCAACACTCAAAAGCTGAAGGACCAGGCTACAAAGGACATCTTCATTGCAAGCATAAAGGACAAAGCCGAGACACAAATCAACACTAGCGAAGAGGTCGGCGTTGAAAAGCACTGGAACAACTTGAAAACGGTGTGGAGCCAAACCTGCATAGAAATTCTAGGCAGAAAAAAGAGACAGGACAAACAGTGGCTCACTACGGACACTTGGAAACTAATAGAAGAGAGAAGGACAGTGAAGCAAAAGATTATCCAGTGCACGGACGAGCAACAAAAACAGGAGCTGAATGCAAGCTACAATACACTGAACAAAAGAGTGAAGAAAAGTGCCAGGGAAGACAAAAGAAAATATTATGAAACCATGGCAAACGAAGCAGAACAAGCTGCAGGCAAAGGAGACCTCGCCACACTCTACCAAACAACTAGGAACCTTTCGGGCAAACGTTCGACACAGATTAAGCCAATAAAGGACGACAATGGAAAGTCAATCACCAAAGAGGTGGAACAGAGAAAGCACTGGGTTGAACACTTCAAAAGACTTCTAAATCGTCCGCCACCTACAACACGTCCAGCAATACCAACAACGGAAGCAGAACTACCAGTGAACACTGACCCCCCGACGAAATCAGAAGTCCTGAATGCAATCAAGATGCTTAAAACTGGGAAAACACCGGGACCAGATGGAATCCCAGCAGAGGCTTTGAAAATAGACCCAGAGACAACAGCGGACTTGATGACACCACTACTGGAGAAGGTGTGGAAAGAGGGCAAAGTACCCGAGGATTGGAAGAACAGTTACTTATTCAAACTTCCAAAGAAAGGAGACTTAAGTCAATGTAAAAACTGGCGTGGAATTATGCTTCTGTCCATTCCAAGCAAGATACTAAGTCGCATCATCCTGGAGAGAATCAAACAAGCCCTAGATGAAAAACTTCGTCCGGAACAGGCTGGATTCAGGAGAAACAAATCATGTATTGATCAAATCGCCACTCTACGGATCATCATTGAACAAAGCTTGGAATGGCAGTCACCTCTCTATCTCAACTTCATCGACTTTGAAAAGGCCTTCGACAGCGTCGATCGAGAGGTCATTTGGAAACTACTTCGCTACTACGGGGTCCCATCGACAATTATACACCTCATCCAACAGTTATACGACAATGCTGCATGCCAAGTAATCCACAACGGGAAACTTACGGAAGCCTTCGAAGTGAGGACGGGAGTGAGGCAAGGCTGTCTACTATCACCAATGATCTTCCTGATTGCAATTGATTGGATAATGCGACAGACAACGGCAACCAACGAGGGAACAGGCATAAAATGGACTGACACAAAAGACTTGGAGGATCTGGATTTCGCCGATGATATATGTCTGATTTCCCATAAACTGGAAGATATGCAAATGAAAAGTAACAAGTTGGCAGAAGAAGCATCAAAGATAGGACTTCACGTGAACATAGATAAAACAGAGATGATGAAGATTCCTTGCCAACATCAACAGCAACAACAGACCACAATAAGCATAAATGGGAAGAACCTGAAAGAAACAACCTCCTTCACCTACCTGGGAAGCATCGTCTCAACTACAGGCGGAACTGACGAGGACATCAAAGCCAGAATCGGAAAAGCAAGACAAGCTTTCATTACTCTCAAATCTGTGTGGAGGTCAACAGCAATCAGCATCAAAAATAAGATCCGGATTTTCAACTCCAATGTGAAGTCAGTGCTACTATACGGATCAGAGACTTGGCGAGTCATAAAGAGCATCTCAAACAAACTTCAAACCTTCATTAACAACTGTCTCCGCTCAATACTCAAGATCAGATGGCCAGAAAAGATCAGCAACAGGGATCTCTGGGAGCGAACCAATCAGGAACCGATTGTGAAACAAATAGGCAGAAAGAAATGGAGATGGATTGGCCATACGCTGAGGAAACCATCAAGTGACATCACTAGACAAGCCCTCGAGTGGAACCCGAAAGGGAGGCGGCGAGTTGGTCGTCCAAGGGTGACTTGGAGGAGGTCATGTGAAGAGGAGATGAAAGCATGTGGGCAGACCTGGAGCAGGGTGAAAAAGTTGTCAGAAAACCGAAGTCAATGGAGGTGCGCAGCTGAAGCCCTATGTTCCTCTAGGAACTAAAGGATACAATAATAATAAATAATAATAATTAGGAAAAGGAAACAGCAAAGACGCCACAGAGCTGCTGAAAGCCTGTCATTCCAGTGAATCACACACAAAAGGTTTGGATAGGGTTACAATTATAAAAAGTAATATGGGTGGGTATAGAGTGAGGTTGATTACTGAATCTTTGTTCATAATACTGGCTTGCGTATAATCAAGCACAAAACAGTACTTCTGACCTCTCATTAGAATTCTACTTTCGCAAACACGTTTAAACCGAAAAAGATGTTTTCAACGCAGTTTCATACTGTCGGTTGTTATAAAATAAGATTCTTAGTGAACATATTTGTAAATAATCCTGAAGAGCTGCAGAACTAAGGCAAATTAATAGTATGCTTTGAAACAATCAGAAATGCAATTTTGTTTCGCCAATTATGAATTTTCTTTTAACATTTTAACATTTGTCCATCGTATAGGACATTTGTCTTTTAGTATTTCAATCAATAATTCGCCAGCTATACAGTACAACGCAGAGGTCAATTTCTTGAGTTGAGACCATAACCCAATAAATTTAGTCGCTTTGTATATATGTATATAAATGAATATTTTAAGCGGATAACAATCTTAGGAAAAATAATTTTCAATGTGATTTACAAAATAAGTCAGGAGATGGTAAGATATTATAATGTAAAGCATAATTATATTTCAATAGTTTACATACATTGATAAGTTTTGTTATAAAATTTCCAGCAAAATTACTGCTCGTGTTTACACCACTATTGGAATTGTTTTAAAATAAAACAAACGAGACTATCTACTGATTCATTGCAATTCATTTGTACCCACTAAAATTGAAAAACGTTCGCTCAAAATAATGTTTACCTGATTTTTTGACGTACTTACATAAACGCACCAAATCAACACATTTCTATCCTTCATAAGTGGTCGCCACAGTGTGAATTTGTGACACGAATTAACAATAGGTGAACTTTGAACATCTGTTCATATTTTAATTCTGTATCGATCACTGTTAATAATCTCTGCTCCTGTGTGATTAGCAGATCAGAATTTATAGTTAATGCGTTTTTTTTTATCTCACTTTGTTATTGAAATGGGTTTTGTGTTTTGATCCATAGAAAGGATGCTTATGTGCATTTTTGTGACCGATTTTGTGCAGTAAACTAAGCTCAGTTTTTTTGGTTCGTGAGAAGTATTATTACTTTATTTTAAAGTGTAGCTAATATTCACTTTCCAAAAGGAATTCTCTATGATAAATGTAAAGTCAGAAGCTGACGACATGAGAGGATGGTCACAAGTATAAATGCAGATACTGATCTAGATGATCAGTTTCTAAAATGAAATGAACTGTCCTTTTCTCTGAAACGTTCGCAGATCTTTTCCTGCTTTGCTACATTCATAATGTATATCACGATATGGTGTATGTTTGTAGTTCATTGTGCCTGGTGACTTCATGTGAACTCACTAATGATTAGCGATCATACTATTCAACCTACCACTATACCTTGTTAGTGTGAAATATTCCCATATTATGAATTAGAAGTCAATCTGAACGAAGAAGGCATTTCAACTGTTCCTGTGGTTCAAGTTATATAGGGCGCACGATTAGGCAGGTTCGTCTACGGGTTTGAGAACACTTACCAGTTTGGTTTAGCAGGTAAGTGCATAAAAAGCTCGATCCTGTCACACCTGGTTAATACTGGACATCGCATCGATGTCAACACAGCTTTCAGGGTTATGTACCGAAACCCGAAGTCGTTATCAGGTACAGTTCGCTTACGTCTCCTACACATAGGTGAAGCTGTTGCAATAAGATCGACTAAACCGGAACTGTGTATCCAAAAAGAACACGTCCAGACGCTGTTCCTACCGTGGCCAACCTTGGATTGAAGATTTTTCTTCTCACCAAGAGTGCTCCTTACCCCTAACCCTCTTGGTTTTGTTTTGTTTTTTTCTTTCTTTTTACTTTGCTTATTATTATAAATATTATTAGTACATTTATTATTATTATTCGTCATAATTTATGCCCTTTATGCAAACATTCCCTCAATACTATCGAATTTTCATTTATACGGACTTATTAATAGTGATATTATCTGTTTTCTCAATATATGCCTCCACCTGTTTCATTTAACATATTCGTTATCTCACTATGAACCTCTCATTCCAGTCCTAATATCTCCTGTTTAACTCAGACCATCTTGTACTAGCCAGTCACCTGACACCTTTTATAACCTTGAGCTGATTTGTCAATTTTCCTACCCCACACTCTACAATTCTATTATGATTAATCACCACCAGTGTCTCCCGTTTTACAATATTTCTAATCGATTTTAGCCTAGCACGTTTGCCACGCAAATATGACTATTTATTTTGACACCCCATAACTAATCTGTTATTCTACGTTAAAAATGTATCCGCGGCATAACTGGCCTTTATTGTAACGACCACAAATATTATATTTTATAATTATAAGAACCTGAAGAGAAATTATCGAAAAGAATATTCTTCGTTCAGATTGACTATACTTTTTGTCTGGCTTATATTATCAGGAAATTAACGTGGACACATGTGAATACCATATATGCGAATAACATAATGTGGAAAATACTGAAATTCTTTCAAGTGTGTGTACATCACACTTTTTTTCACTCAATATTATGATATTTATTGAGAAAGAAATTTCCTGTCATAACAGCAAATTTTGTAAGAGTGGAAACTTAGTAGCTCAACAGAGATATATCCTAGGTGATTGCATTCTCAACAGCTGTAAAACTACATTTATATGCATAAGTTGACAAAGTTGCAATTATTATTGTATTTAACACAATAAAAAAGAAGTATAAATATGATTACAATTTTCAAGACGATAGAGATGTCTGAAGGTGTGAATACAGGTTACAAAATTGTATGGAATAAGGAAAATGTTGAGAAAAATGTTACACACCTGCATTTAGTGAATACATGTTCAAACATGTTGAGGGAATAAACAAATTAATGACAGAGTGATAACAACTTTTGTGACTGATGATAAGCAATTTGAAGGGAATAGAAACACCTCAACGAATGAAAACTAAGAGGTCAGTGAGAAGAAGATGCATTATGGTCCTTTGTTAGTTTTCACATTCGTATGAATTCTTATTTGCCTTAATTTGTTTCCATGCACAACCTGTTCACATTTATCTTCATTAGAGGAACTTTGTCTGACTAATATTCTGATGGGTGGTTTTACATGATCTGAAAACATTAAAGCATTTGCATCAGATTAATATTTGATACCATCTACACCTCACCATTGAAATACATCGATCGCAAGGTGGAATGTGATTATATTACGTGATAACAGACTGATACCCAACTAAACCTAACACGAATCTGATTCTAGGTTCCTTGACTATGCCGCCAAGCTACCTTGTTTTACACAGACATGTGTCGTATTTAACAGTGCTTTATTTTTATACCTTTTTTGTATCAATCTTGCTGTTATGAATTTATCAAAGTAAAGGCAAATTGGAAATCAAGTTAAAAATGCTGAGAATTCATCACTGTGTGTATTCATATTGTTTGAAACGAAGCTATTATTATTATTACTCAGTAGTTTCACTTTCTCTACGCAAATCAGAATATTCAAATAACTGTAACTGGTCATATATTGCGTTTACATGAGTGCGACTATTATAAAAAATTGAGAACACATTACATATAATGATGTTGCAAAGTCAACGACTTGAGAAACTTTCCTCACCCGTTTTTTTAAAGCGGTAAATATCAGTGCAGAATTCAAGAGAGTAATGGATTCGCCGTTGTCAGCTACGATGTACCATGCACAGACGACTGCAGTTGTCGCACGAAACCATTCACCACGAATTGATGATCCCTAATTAGAGCCAAACTGCTATAGAACACGCAGTAGTCAGTGGTTGACCATCACTAAGTAGTTTTCTCCATGGGTGTTTAAAAGAATACACTCACCTTACTCGAATATTCCTCTTATTTCCAGGCGTACTAACTCTGTTTCAGTGTGTCTAGAAATTAATTATCACTCAAATTTGACGTCATTTTATTTCAGCCTGAATCAAATAGTCAGACTATGTTTTCATTGTCGGACTGTATATCCTGGTGAGAAGCTCTAAAAGGTACTCGAAATGTGTCAATAAGAGAAACAACAAATATATGATAAATATCAATCTTTACGTTGGAAAGAGAATGTTGTACAGAAATAAAAATGAAAATCCTGGCACAGAGACATTGATTTATTTTAAAGGCCGCCTGAAAGCCAGAAAATAGCAAATATCACATCACAGAATGTACAGACTTCGAATGACATTTTTGTCGGCTAGTTGATTTGATTAATGAATACCAATTAGTGATTTATGTTTGGAGATAAAATGAACAATGAGATCTGTTAAATATGACTGTTTCATTTGCAATCACTTTGCCCACATGATAGTGGTCTTTCGAAATACACCTCACTTTGTTTACGTTTGCCTTGTCTCTAGGATTGATTTCTCATCTGATTCAGCTGAATTAGAACTGAATTTTAGAAAAAAAACCTGACAAAATTTTGAACTAAATAGTGTCAAAGCAGTGTTACAAAGGTTGCCGACCAGTGCGGAGAGAAACGGCTGAAGGCACTTTGGGTTCTGAAATATAGTGTGGCAAATTGTATTGAGAATGCTGACCAATATTTATGTCAGATCAAATATACAATTCAAATGGTAATGATCGGTTATGGAAGGAAACTGAAAAGGTGTCTGTACAATAATCGAGTTTTGACACAACTTCACTGGAGCATTGAGAAAACGTAAGAAGTACGGAAATGCAACTTTTCAATAAACTTCTATCTTCACATTTCTTACCATTAGGTAATAGAGTGTTTCCACATTATATTATAGATTTACACATCCGTTTTTAATTTTACATATCGAATCCATGCCATACTGTTTCGAAAACACGTAATTGCAAAGACATTAATGAATTCCTTGACAAGTACAATTTCTCCTTCCATGTATACGTGACCTAACTCAAGAATACATAGGTGGGTAAATGACTAATTAAATGTGAGTAGTAGTCATGTTTAAACAATTCACGTAAATGCTGAAAATATTAATAAAATTTAAAAGGTCATTCGACTCTTCACTTCACTTACAAATATCTCCCCCACAATAAACAAAACTACTCCTGCTGTCAAGAAAGCCGTCGACAAGAAGAGTAGAATTGTTATAACTCCTTGTTTGAATCTTTTGATAACGATGCAAAAGATAGTGCTTAATACGTCTTCCAGTATAATGAAATCCACTAAAAGGCGACAGTAAAATTCAGACGGTTTGCAACACACTAAACATATGCTTGCAGACCACAGTGCAATCTGTTGGAAAAATTAATTAGGCATTTTCAACATGTGAATGTAAGTATTTTATTTTTTCATAAAATTAATACGTTCATCAAGTCGGATGAGAAATAACACTAAATTTTCTTTCACAAAAGCCTCTTGTTACATGCACTTATGCGGATAGTCCGAAGTGTAACCTCAATCTAGGTTTCGCACTTACCAAGTGGCATTTTATAACTTCAAATAGTGTATTCATTTGTAGCACAATATGTCTATGTCCACTTCCAGCTCTTGTTGTAAGCGAGAAGACGATGTCTCATCCCAATGTATTTAACAATGTACATGCCTATTCCGTCACACGTATATAGAAAGGATCAGTCGATCTTTTCATGACAAGGCAAAAGACCCCACTCAGAAATGGTTAGAAGAAAAAATAAATTCACCTGATTCAATTCGTCCTTGAAGTATATATCTAGCGTTATATATCAATAAGCGTATCACAAAGACAGATTATAAATTTGTATTCAATAACGCTTCTAAACCCGTCTACTGATCAAGGCTGGTATTCAACTTAAATTCATTGGAGTTACAGTCGTATGTTT